CTCATCACCTCAGGAGATCTCCCACCCACGGCCTCCAACATCATCATTCCCAACCCTGCACCGCCCATTTCTATCTCCTTCCCAAAATCCACAAACCTGATTGCCCCAGCAGACCCATTGTCTCTGCCTCTTCCTGCCCCATTGAACTCACTTTCTCTTGCCTTGACTCAGTCTTCCCACCACCGCCCCCCTCACCCCACTCCCCCCAGTCCAAGAAATTCCCACCTACATTCGGGACACTTCCCAGGTCCTCATAGACTTCCAATTCCCTGACACCCAAAACCTCATCTTCACCATGGACATGGCCATCCGCTTCTTCCTCTCCCGCAGGCTCAACCAGTCCCCCTCCATCAATATCCTCATCCGCCTAATGGAACTTGTCCTTACCCTGAACAACTTTTCCTTTAACTCTTCCCACTTCCTACAAACTAAGAGGGTGGCTAATGGGCACCCGTAGTGGTCTAAGCTGTGCCTGCCTCTTCATAGGATACGTGGAACAGTCCCTCTTCCACTGTTACACCGGCACCATCCCTCACCTCTTCCTCTGCTACATTGATGACTGTCTCAGCGCTGCCTCATGCTTCCACGAGGAGCTTGAACAGTTCATCAACTTTACTAACATCTTTCACCCCAACCTCAAATTTACCTGGACCATCTCTGATACTTCCCTCCCCTTCCTGGAGCTCTCCGTCTCCATCTCTGGTAACCGTCTCAGCACCGACATCTATTTCAAACCCAACAAGTCCCATTGCTACCTTGACTACATCTCTTCTCACCCACCCTCCTGCAAGAATGTGATCTCTTACTTCCAATTCCTCCACTTCCACCGCATCTGCTCCCAAGATGGAGCGTTCCACTCCCAGACATCCCAGATGTCCTCCTATTTCACAGACCACAACTTCCCCTCTCCAGTGATCAAAAATGCCCTTAACCGCATCTCTTGCATTTCCCGCAATTCTGCCCTCAAATCCCCTCCCCCCAACAAAAGTTCTGAGGAAGGGTCACTGGACCCGAAACATTAATTCTGCTTTTTCCTTCACAGATGCTGCCAGACCTGCTGAGCTTTTCCAGCAAATTTGTTTTTGTTCCAAAAATAAAGGCAGAGTCCCCCGGTCCTCACATACCACCCCACCAACCTCCTCATCCAGCTTATCATTGTCCGCCACTTCCACCACCTACAATCCAACCTGACAAAGAGATATTTCCCTCTCCACCCCTATCTGCCTTTCGTAGGGATTGCTCACTCTGCAACCCCCTCGTTCGCTCCACACTCTCCACTAAACCTGTTACACCCAGCACCTTTTCCTGCAACCACAGGAGATGCTTCACCCGCCCCTACACCTCGCCCCTCACCTCCATTCAAGGCCCAAAACAGACTTTTTCCATATCCGACAGGGGTTCACTTGGTCTAGCTGTATCCTGGTCTACTGTATCTATTGATCCTGGTGTGGCCTACTTTACATCGATGAGACCAAGTGCAGACTGGGGGCTCTACTCGTGGAGCATCTGCACTCTGTACGCTATAATCAATAACACCTTCTGGTCACTAACCTTCCCTTGATGACATGTCCATCCTGGGCCTCCTCCAATGCCATAATGACACCATACACAAACTGGAGGAGCAACACCTCATATTCCGCCTTGGGAGCCTACAGCCCAATGGCCTGAACATAGAATTCACCAGTTTTAGAATCTCCCAACTCCTTCCCCCCCAATCCCATTTCCAACCCTGCCTCTCATCCCCGCCTTCTTGACCTGATACAACCTGTCCATCTTCTCCCCCCACCTATCTGCCCCACCCTTCCCACTGACCAGGGCCTACTACCCCCTACCAGCATCTACCTATCACCCGCCCACCTACCTTCCCCCAGTCCCACCCTTCCTCCCTCTATTTATTTCCCAGCTCCTTTCCCCCTCCCCAGTTCTGATGAAGGGTCCCGGACCCGTCGACTTTCCTGCGCCTCCGATGCTGCCTGGCCTGCTGTGTTCCTCCAGCTCCACTCTGTGTTGACTCTGACTCCAGCATCTGCAGTTCTTGCTATCCCTGAATGTCTGTATTTTTCGATTTTATCTGCTGCCTTCTTTAAGACGGTGTTCCTTTGAAATTTCACTCACGGCAAAACAATCGACTGCCTCTTTGTAATCTTCAATGTGATCGTCGGTGAAATATGTTTAATACGTTCATAAAGACACAAGGAAATAAAATTCGTGTGATCCATGATTTCAAGGCCAGGAACAGTTGAAGTAGGATAACAAGATGTAGAGACAGATGAACACAGCAGGTCAGCCTTCCTGCTCCTATGATGCTGCTTGGCCTGCTGTGTTCATCCAGCTCTACACCTTGTTATCTCAGATTCTCCGGCATCGGCAGTTCCTACTGTCCCTCACGGTTGAAGTGGGAATCCATCGTGATACATGCGGTTCAAAGGAATATATCGTGAAATATGCGGTTCAAAGGAAGAAGCACTTCTATTCAGTTTTTATACATTTCTTTAAAAAATCTAGACTATAAAATAAGGTTCTAGTTTATTCTGACGAAAGCTAACTATCGTGTCTAAATAGACGTTGCTGAAGGGCGAAAGAAAGAATCGAACTTGTTCTCGAGAAAACCTGTTGTGTGTAATCAGGCAGCCAAATTGTAGACCGGGAAGGTCGCCAGTCCCTTCGGCCTTCAGCATCGTGCTGCGAAAGCGCGAAGGGCATATATTAATCTTCGATTAAACTCTGTTAAAGAACGACGCGTGACATTGCTTAAATATGAAATGTGAAACGTACACCATCCTACTTATTAGAAATTGAATTTTATGTACCGACCCATCTCAGGAACGTCCTTAATATGTTATTAAGACAAATAGCCAGAGATAAGGGAAGGTCAGAACATTGAGCTTTCTTGGAATAAACAGCTGTTAGGAAGGAACAAAAACAAAGTTGCTGGAAAAGCTCTACAGGTCTGGCAGCATCTGTGAAGGAAAAAAGAGTGAATTTTTCGGATCTGGTGACCCTTCCTCAGAAGGGAACCTCGGGAGCTTTGGTTGGACTCTGCTCTACTTGGAGAAAGACTGGGGAAATTAAACTATGGTAAGGACCTGATCCTTCCGCGTCTGTAAAGTCCTGCTGAGTATGACGTCAATTTGCACATAGTAAGTAGCCATCAATAGCAACAAGATACTGACAAAATAATATGTTCATTGATATAATGTTGGCTAGGAGACCAGGAAAATTTCCATGGTTTTCTTTTAAGACTGGGATTGGATCATTTATGTCCATTTCTAGGGAAAATTAAGCTCAATGTAACATTTTACCTAAACGACGTTGTCTCTGAAAGTACATTATTTTCTCAAAACTGCATATGCAGTCCAGTGCTGGGGGTGGTCCCAGATTCTGCATAAGAGACACCATTGATTCGTGGCTAATATCAACATTTGTGGAATAACTAATCACTTACTAGTAGCTAATGGAAAAGCATTGCTCCTTCTGTAACTGCTATATGTATATTCTTGCCCTGGTGACTGTTATTGCTGCTTACGTTATTACATCAAGATTTATATACATTTCCATGAATATGGTTGTAATTACCTTATACTTAGTCAACTATGACGATAGAATTCATTCTAGCGATTGAACTGTAAATAACTGAACTACTTGATTTAAAATTTATATCTCCTTTATATATGTGTAATATAGAAATCATCATACTGTGACAATTCCAGCAGAGTGGGGTATTTCATCGTGACAATAGGGCAGGAAAGAAAGTTTCTTGTGACATTAGAGTGTTAAATTCAAAAAAAATTAAAATTCATTATTGACGTAATAAATTATTGAAGTAAGTTTGATCAATTAACACAAATAGCTCGGGAAGCAAATAGAATAGGAACTTTGCCTTTCAACAAAGAATACAACATCCTACAGTCTTTTTGTATAAACTTTGTTTATTTTAATGTTTATAATGTACGTTCTATAGTTGATACGTAATTTACAACATAAAATATTTCTGAAGCAGTCTCAAAAGAGTTTCCACTATGATTTATAAGTCACTTCAGAGATACAAACTTGGCATAGTAGCATAATGTCCGCTTTTCATATGCAAATAGGCATTTGGAAAAAAAACCTACAAAATCTGGAAATCGTGAATATTAGGAGAAGCGGGTCAGTCTTAATAAATTCTCCAAATTGTGTTTTCTGTTGAATGACCTGATGGTCAATGCTTTAGTAGTTTTGACTAGCTGACGCAAAGTCAGACTGAGAACTAATTTTGATTATACAAGATGTAAGATGCAGCCTTTGGAATACTGCAGACTTACCAGTTACCACGCCAGCACTCAGTAGAGCAGAAAAAAAATTATCAATAACAGTTATGCCAGTTAATGGATAGCAAAATGAACAAAGGACTGTCAATTTATAACCAATAGTACTTTTTTGCTCGTGTTATTTTACGGAACATCTCAGATTCAAAACAAAATTATCAAAATGTGATCAGAAACCAATGATCTGTTCTCGAGTACGAAACAAAATAATTGCAGAATTGATATTCAAAGAGAATTCACAGTTCAGTCAAAGGGACGATTATAAAACTTTAAAGTCGGAAATGTCCCGTCATTTAAAATAATTCGTTCAAAACATAAACTCAATTATTGTCAAAATCTTAACAACATTTTATTTTATCTGAGATTGTGTGAATAAAGAGCTGGCATATGCTAGCGTCCGTGTATGCAACTGAGCTCGCATGGTAATGGAGGTAATTCTGAACCATCGAGGAAATTTCCTCCTCCTATAATATGAACACATTTCGAAATAATCACAAGTATTACAACAAAACAGTAAAATGACTAGTTTAAACTTTATTTTTATATTCCACTCCAGACATCGTTATAACAGATTCGATACTTAATATTGTGATGATTTAATGTAATGAAGTATTACACGTTTTTTTAATTATAAAAGGGGAATGTCACTGTTAGTACTTTAAGGATACTGCCGAGGACAGATTATTCGGCTTACCCTCACCGCTGTTTTATAAATAAATATCTGAAAGCGTTGTTGTAATTTTTGTTGAAAGCTGTGTAGATGAGAGGATTGAAGAAGGAATTGGAATAGCCGAGCCAGACAAATATACTCTTCCAGACAGGGGGAATGTTGCAAGAGCACAGGGGACCGATGAGCTCAGTGATGAAAAATGGGATCCAACACAAAACGAAGACCCCGATCAAGATCCCTACCATCACCGCCGCCTTCTTTTCCTTCTGTTGGCGCCAAGCTTCTCCGTCTGCCTGGAACGTCAGGGCGGTATGTCGGACCGCACACTCCATCTGGGGCTGGTGACTAGCTTCCTTCACCTATAATAAAGTTCACAGGTTAAAAGCATTTGAGCATCTTCAGGAAGCAGGGCAAGAAAGGCAACACTTCGTCGGCATTTAATGCTCAACGTCAACTGAATTTCAGAATATAATGCTAACATTCGCTCATTGATCATTTAAATAGAAATTAGAAATCAAATTAGAAATCCAGTTAGTTGTTTGTATCTATGCAATTGTATTTTTAGTGTCCAAGTGAGCAATAAAACGAACGTGACTTGGGAGGTTGACGTTCATTAATAGGTAGTTGAGATCCGCATTTTTTGTTGTTCAGCGGCACCTTCACTATCAAGCTACAGAAAATCAGAGCGAACTTTAAATATAAAAAACGCCAGATACAAGTGTTACAATTTAAGATTTACTAGACCACTACTCTGTGCTAATCCAGGATTCAAACTAGACGCACACCTGAATACGCCATTGCTATATTCAATGCCACTTGCAAACACAGGAGTTGCCGCAGTGTGTTACCAAAACATGTTCCCCCCCACTTTTCGTCTGTAGCTGGCTGTTCTCTCCATACTTTCGTCATCGAGTCAAATGGCTGACTGTGGAATCCTGCTTGCTTTATTAAAAAAAGGCGTAACGTGAACATATTCTCCCTGTTGTACAGTCTTTCTTATTTAGTTCTGCACTGTCTGGCGTTCCCTCCACAGTCACAGCGTCTTGCGGACTCCCTAGCAGCCTTGTGAAAATGCGAACTGATGCGCTGTTGATACCCGACCCCTGTCCTTTTTTTGTCTTTGTGGAACATTAGTACAACTTACATTACAAATGCAACCCAAACATTTTATTTTATATCACAGAAAAGGATCATGAATTAAAATGCAAGAATATAGAATGTGAACGAGTTTGACTAGTTAATACGCTTTTTTGCAATTTTTAAAATTTAGGTACCAAAATCTTTTTGTACAAACATTGAAAATGATCTGTATTTGTTTACGATCCTGTTTTAAGGCCCGATTTTCAAATGCAGTTGTTGTGGATACTTTGACAGAATGCTAAGACCATGTGGGAAGCCCCTTCAACTCTCCTCACGGTTTGGAGGGGTTTCAAAAAACACGACATGCCACTTTCCCAAAAACCGGCTCGCTGTGTTCTCCAGTAATAAAGAAAAAGGGACGGGTTTCCTGCGACAAACCAGCAAAACAGAACACCAATACGTTTTATCGACTTTTTTTTACATTTGTAGAATATGAGGGAAAGTATGCACATATGTTGTTTTAATTAATGTTGTTATAACGTAATTGTTTAAATGAGGGGAGGCAATGGCCTAGTGGTATTATCGCTGGGCTGTTCATCCAGAGTCCCAGGTAATGATCTGGGGAAAATACTAAATAAAAACCGAAAGAAGTGCAGATGCTGTAAATCAGGAACAAAAACAGAAGTTGCTGGAAAAGTTCAGCAGGTCTGGCAGCATCTATGAAGAAAATATCAGAGTTAACGTTTCGGGTCCGGTGACCCTTCCTCAGATCCGATGGCAGCTAGGAAAATGACGGTTTATAAACGCCAGGGCAGATAGTGGAATTTGAATTCAATTAAAAAAATCTGGAATTACGAGTCTAATGATGACCATGAATCCATTGACGATGGTCGGGAAAAACCTACCTGGTTCACTGAAGTCCTTTAGGGAAGGAAACTGCCATCCTTACCTGGTTTGGCCTACATGTGACTCCAGACCCACTGCAATACGGTTGACTCCTAACTGCCCTCTGGGCAATTAGGGATGGACAATAAATGCTGCCTAGCCAGCGATGCCCTCATCCGTGAATGATTTTTTTTTCAAAAAGGGTGTCAAAAGAATAAACATTTTGCCAAAAGACAACTCGCTACCCAATACTTTATTGAGAGTAGCTTCAGCTCTAGTGTCGCTGCATCTTGAACCTATAGTTCTGACATAGATTCATTGCTGGGTGGGAAAAGGCATCAGTGTGAGTAGCGAAGCCCAGACTCTTTTACCTGCAGTATTTCGGGCAATGGAACAACAGCATTCCTCTTCCGGCTCCCTATCCTGAACTTGGCAGCCTTGTAGATTTTCCAGTATACGAACAGAACCACGCAAAGCGGCAAGTAGAAAGCGCCGCAGGTTGAAAAGACGGTGTAGGATGGCTCCTGGCTGACCTGGCAGTTCTCCTTGTCAGCCGAGTAGGCTTCCCCCCATCCAAGAAGGGGAGAGAACGAGATGACAGCCGAAAGCGCCCATGTAAGGACGATCATAATATTGGAGATCCGCTTTCGAGTCTTTAAAGTGTAGTCCAAGTGCCTGGTGATAGACCAGAACCTGTCCAGGGCGATGGCGGTAACATTCCAGATACTGGCCGTGCAGCACAGGACATCGAAGGAAATCCAGACATAACATAAGACCCTGCCCAGCCTCCAGCGCCTCCCGAACAACTCATTGACCAGACTGAGAGGCATCACCAAGGCAGCCACCATCACATCAGAGACTGCCATAGAGGCCACCAAGTTATGAGGCACACGGTGAAAGGTCTTCACTCTCAGGATAGTTAGCAGCACCAAAAGGTTCCAAGCGAAGGTGGCGATGATCAGAAAGCTCAGAAGAGTCACGCTCAGGACGCTCAAGACAGTAACAGACTCCCTCTCCAGCCTGCTGTTTTCTGAGCTTTCATTAAGGGGCAGGGATCCGTTGATGCACATGATTCACGGCTTTGCCTGGCTAAACAAACTCACGTTTCAGGAGCGTTCAGTTCCGCAGATAAATTATTAACAAATAACATCCAGTTTATCCACAAACTGCATCTAGTTCGTTGAATCCCCGTTGCGGCCAATGACGGTCCTTTATCTTTCACTGTTCTCAATCTCAGCAAGACGGCCAGTGGATTCTTCAGTCAGCGAGTCTTATTAACCAAACGGAGGAAGGGAGCGAGCTTTTACTTACATTATCACTTCAAAGCTTCCCCATGAAGGCTACAGCCGGTTAGCGGCGAACTGAGGCTCTGTGCAAATTGCGTTCAAGTACCGAGCAATTTGTGAGATAAAAAGATCAACTGTGATCACCATGATGATGAGCCACTTATAGAAATGGAATAAACCCTAATTCCCAAAAAAAGAATAAATTCTGAGTTCTTCATGTCTACGTACACGAATTCTTAGCAATTGGCAATGGGATATTGTTTTGTCTTTACGATCTCAGCCGTGCTGAGAGTACTTTCAGTTTTATATGGATATATAAGGCATTAGATTCTATTCGACGTGAGTTAAATTATGGTAAACAATATAATTCAGAAAACAAGTTAAAAGGTAACTTTCATCGATATGTGAATACTAAAAACTTTCTTTCATGCTCGTGCTGAATTGCCACAACAATGTGGAAAATCGATATATATGCAATCATTACCGTTTGTAGCGCGCACTTACTTTCCAGCATGTTAGCTTAACACTTCTGAACGTTTGTATAGCAACCAAAATCTTAAAGTCTTGATAATCTGTCACAGAAGGAAGTATTTTCTGGTATAAACCAGGTACTGACAATTATCTTGTGAAGAAGGCCATGATCATAGATTTATGACAAAATCTTTATCAGACAATATCAATGCAGACAAAACTAGATCAAGATAAGTGGCATTAAAGGAACAAACGAACTATTGGAAATTTATCATTCATGGCCAGGCCAAGAAAGGAAAGATGAAACTTTATTATTCAACAAAGGATGCTTGTGAGCAATGAAACTTCAGTTTCCAGAGATAAATTGAAATATAATGGGAATAAATAGAGTTGAAGAGGGAAGTGATGGAAGTGAGATGATGGGAAGTGATTATCTACTTGATATTGGGTCATCAGATATCTCAATCTGGTTCTGTGTATACCCATCAGTAAGTTTATTGTACTGTTACAGACCTGGGCATTTTTTTTAAGGAACCAGAAAAGCAAAAATAATTAACAGTTATAAAAGAGACATATTCCAATTAAACAAAACAACCCTGTGCCAAAACAAACAGAGGCAGCGTTAATAGTCTAAACTCTGGCAAAAAAAAAATCACCAGTTTTTATCTCTTATACACTTAAACCACATATTCAATTTCTTGTTTAATAAACTTACAACTGTAGTTACACAATTGTAATTTATTTCTCATTGTACATACATGAGGCATTGCTCTCTTCCACTCAAAGTGTTCTGTATCCTGCTCATTGTACAGTGCGGTCTGCCTCATTGTTTCTGTTACCCACTCCCTGGCCTGGCCGTTTTCCAGCTACATACATTTATTTTACTACAAACATTTTGCAATAATTGGGCGAGGCGATGGCCAAGTGATATTATCACTGGACTGTCAATCCAGAGGCCCAGATAATCTTCTGGGGGCCTGGGTTTGAATCCTGCCAATGCAGATGATGGAATTTGAATTCACTAAATATCTGGAATTAAGAGTCTAATGATGACTGTGAATTAATTGTTGGGGAAAAACCCCTCTGGTTCACTAATGTCCTTTAGGGAAGGAAACTGCCATCCTTCCCTGGTCTGGCCTACATGTGACAACAGACCCACAGACTCTTAACTGCCCTCTGGGTAATAAATACTGCCTAGCCAGCAATGCCCTCATCCTGTGAATTAAAAAAAACTGTAATTAACCCTTTTAGTTTTAATCCTTTCACCTTTATGCCCTTACTAATAAAACACCTGTCAATCTCACATTTGAACTTATTAATGATCCTGCCTCAAATGGCCTTTGTGATAAGGAAATCCACACGCTCACTATCCTCTCAGAAAGAAATTCATTGTCATCTTTGTCTTAAATGTGCAAGCTCGTATTCTGAGATTATGCCTCCAGTCAAATTCTCACACAATGGGAAACAACCTCTCAGCATTGACCCTGTCAAGTTTCCTAAGAATCTTTAATGCCTCAGGATGGTCACCTACCAGCCTTCTATATGGTACAGGCCAAAGCTACTTAATATTTTGTCATAGGAAAATATCTCCATGCCTGGTATCAATATAGGGAGCCTTCTCTAGGCTGCCTCCAATGCCAGTTTGGCATTGGGCTCTGAAGAAGGATCACCAGACCTGAAATGTTAACTTTGATTTCTCTCCACAGATGCTGCCTGTCCTCCTGAGATTTTCCCACAATTTCTGTTTTTGTTTCAGATTTCCAGCATCTGCAGTTCTTTAAGGTTTTTGTCCAGTATAATATTCGTCAGATAAGGGGATGAAGACTGTTCACAGTTTTCCAGGTATGGTCTAACTCGTGTATTGTACAGTATTGTCAAGACTTCTGCACTTTTTATATAAAATTAGAAAGTGTTGGAGAACCTCAGCATGTCCATTAACATCTCTGGAGATAGAAATTGAGTTAACAAGCCAGCAGCCATGGGGTTGGAGGGTGGGGTGGGGAGGAAGTGGGAGGATGTAATCAAATTAGAGGACAGACGTCATGCTTTGCGTTTGTTGAATTGAATGTTGAGTCCTAGAGGCTGTAAAGTGTGTAAACAGAAAATGAGGTGTTGTTTCTCCAGCTTGTGTTCAGCTTCATCGAAAAACTCTAGCAGACCCAAGATGGAAATGCTAGCATGGGAGCAAGATGGTTCATTCAAATGGCAAGCAATTGTAGGGTCAGGGTCATTCCTATGGGCAGAGAGGAGGTGTTCTGCAAAGCAGTTTCCCAGTCTGAGTTTAGTCTCACCAGTGTGAAATAGCCCACAACAGTGAATATATAGTTTAAATTCATAGAAGTACAAGTAACACGTTGCTTCACCTGGAAGGTGTGTTTGGGACCTTGAACAGTGAAGAGGGAGAAGGTGAAAAGGCAAAAATCACACCTTCTGTGATTGCATGGGGAGATCACATGGGCGGGGGTGGCAGAGTTGAGTGAAAATGTGTTAGGAGTGATGGGGTAGTGTGTCAGGGTATCACTCAGGTACGGGTCCTCATAGAATGATGACAGTGGAGAGGAGGGAAAAATGTATTTTATCCTGCTGAAGTCATTGGAAGATGATTCTTTGAATGTCAATGGTGGGGTGGAAAGTGAGGACAAGAGGAACTGTATCATTCTGAGAGGAAGAAGACGGGGAGGACAGAAATGCTGTGAATGGTCTGGACACAGCTGGAAGCCTTGTCATCACAGTGGGTTGGGGCAGGGTGTGATTTCTGAGGTGAGGAATGAGGACGATATAGCAGAGGCACCTCTCGTAAAACATAGCATCATCAGAACAAATGCAATGGAGATGGAGAAACTGGAAGAATGGAATGTCTCTTATCTTATTAAGTGGCCTTACAAGCAACATCTAATTGAATGCATTTTGGAAATATAAATTACATCTATTGCATCTCTTTATCTTGTTTGCAACCTCCTCATACAATTCAAACAAATCTGTCAGGCATGAAGTTCCCTTTGTGAAGCCATGTTGACATTGTATTACCATATTGTGAATTCCTAAATCCTCTGCTATTACATCCTTTATAATAGACATTTTATCTGATATTTTATCAATTACAGATGTTAAGTTAACTATAGTTACCTATGTTTTGTCTCTCTCCCATATTGAATAAGGTGCTATTTGGCAGTTTTCTAAACATCTATGACTCTTCCAGAATCTAAGTGTTCCTGGCAAACTAATACCAGTGAATCTAATATCTCTGTAGCTATTTCCTTTAGTATCCTAGGATGCAACCCATCAGGTTCAGGAACTTATTGCCCTTATTTCTATTACTTTCCCAAAGATTTTTGTTCTAGTGATAGTTATTGTAATTATTTCCTCCCTGCCTCAACTCTTGATTATTGAATACTTTTGGAATGCTGTTAGCATCTTCTACAGCAATGACTGATGTTGTGTATTTACTCAACTCCTCTGCTATTTCCACATTCCCTATTCTTATTACCCTAGCTATGTTTGCTAAGGGGTCTACATTTATTTTGGTCTTTCTCTTCCTTTTCATATATTTAAAGAAGTTGTTACTGTCTTTTTTTTATTACTTGCTAGCTTACCCTCAAAAATTTTTGTTTGTGTCATCTTTCATTCATTGTTAAAACTTTTCCAATCTTCTGTTGAGAAAATTCTGAGTTATTTCATGTGTTAAATTAATTTCATTGCTTAAGTTAAACAAGATGCTGCCTGCTAGGTCATAAGTTATCCAGTCATATAGATGTATTGCTCTATTTGTCCACAAACAGTCATAGCGTTATAGAGTGCAGAAACAGACTGTTCAGTCCAACTCTTCCACACTGACCACATATCCTAAACTGATCTAGTCCCATTTGCCAGCATTTGGCTCATATCCCTCTAAACCATTCCTATTCATGTACCCATACAGATGCCTTTAAATGTTATAGCTGTACCTACCACCACTACATCCTCTGGGAGCTCATTCCATACACACACCACCCTCTGTGTGAAAAAGGTACCTGTCAGTTTCCTTTTAAATCTTTCCCTCTCACCTTAAAGCTATGCCCCCTAGTTTTAGACTCCCCTACTCTGGGATAAAGGCCTTGGTTTTTCACCCTATTCTTGCTCCTCATGATTTTACAAACCTCTAAAGTCAGCCCTCAGCCCCTGACACCCCAGCCTAGTCAGTCTCTCCCTGTAGCTCAAACCCTCCAATCCTGGCAACATCCTTGTAAACCTTTTCTGGACCCTTTCAAGTTTAACAACATCTTTCCTATATCAGCGGGATCAGAATTGAATGCATTATTCTAAAAGTGGCCTAA